CCCCGAGTGAGCGTCGCATGTGTGCAGCGCAGGTATCTATGGGAGGTTGGCCGGGCACACTACACCTGCTCCCCCCCCCCCTGCCTCATGTAAAATGTGATTACTGTAGTGTGTTTGGTTTATTCCATAGCCGTATTCATTGAAGATCACGCAATAAATTTACTAATAAAAGATCGATGATCGATCGCTGATAGAAGTATTTTCAAATTTTTATCAGTGACATACTACATTGAGGTAGAAAAAACAATAAATCAAAGATGATCGAGACGTAGATTGCAATTTATTTTTTGGGCACTCGGAAATAATAGCGCGCACGGAGGATTGACGCAACTCTATTTACGAAAGAAATGGTTCGTTGCATCAACTCTGGCAGACGTTACGTGGCGAAACCCATTCGGCCAAAGTTTGTGGAAAGTCCTCGAAACATGTCATACTTACTATAATTGCTAAAATGCAAATCTAGCCGTTAAACAATTGTGATCTCGCGTTATCAGAACCTTAGAACTTGTGGGACCGCTAACAATATCAAGTCCGGTGAAAGGTCGTGCCGTTTTTGGACCTCTTCGCCATTCCTTGGAGTGAAGTAGTTCAACGCCTGAGTTGCTATTTAATGTAAAACTTTATTGTTTTGTCCTCTGAGGTGAAAGTAATTCTCTCTAGTGCTCAGGCATTAATTTCTTATAGCTTTTACTGTGATTGAATTTCCATTCTCCAAGTCTCTTACTCCATACCTAGGAGATTGACCAGCAGGTAGGGTAGCGCAATTTTATCACTTTTCCTGCTGGCTTTACGGGATTTTTGCATTTATTTCAAAAGTCATAAGTTTTAAATGGGTATATACGTCCTCACACGATTTTAGAGTTGGGGATGTTGGCAATTTTGATTGCAAATTCTGCTTGTATTACAAAGAAGAATAAACTATCAGGAATAGGAGAAGGAGTTGCACTAACGTCTTTGTTTACAATCAGAATCTGCGTTGATTTGGTTGCTTAAAGAACAGAGTGTCAAATCTTCAAAAGCAAGCCAAAGCATGTGAAAAAAAGATTGACTTGCAAAACATCTGCTGTATCCGCTAACTATCTGGCCTTCTTCGAAACAAAGAAAAGAAATTACCAAAATTAGTCAAATTGGACACGTTGAGAATGATGGTTTGGCGCTTATCTCAGTGACCATCCAAACGACTTTGGAAACATTGCTGTTTAAAAGAAGCTTTGTTAACTACCTAAACTGCTAATCTATTCTATTGTGATATTCTGCCTACATTATCGCTGTTCCTTTTACCTGCTTTATCAGATTTACCAGTCTTAATATTACAGCTGTTACTGTTCGTTATCTGTAATTGTCCGTTGTTAGCAATGTTCCTTTTTGAATGAATGTTCAACCTAGCATTCTGATTTTCACGCTTTCCACGGATGACTGCTTGCTTTTTTACTACCTTCTTGATGTCAAGAAATCGTGGTCACCAGCTGGCATGATCGCGAGCGGAATGATGCGCTCACAACGCACCATCAGCGGGACGAGGGTAACAGAGGCAAGGAGAGTGGCAGTAGAATGTAGTAGCAGCGGTGAAACTCGAGCAGATAACATAAGTCGATGACATTAGTGACACCATCAACAATGGCAGTAGCAGTGATATACAGGGTGTCCCAAAAGTAAGTACACACTTTTCAATCGTTAATATTTCTCTTCCCATTGTCTCTTTTTCCGCCATTCAAGCACCATTCTGTAGAGGAGGCTTCAACTTAGATTAACAGTATCAAGCGAATCACCAATAGCTCTTGATTACTGTAGTATTACTGTAGGAACATCGACAAAGATTTTAGGCCATTGCAAGCCATATTCTGCCTCGCAACAAAACCAAACAAGCCAAAAACTCTTATACTATGGTAATGGAAGCCGCTGATTTCGAATATGAAATATTCACTTTACTGCGTTGCTTCTTTCCAAAGTTATCTCAGGTAAACCGTAATAACAGAATTCCCAGTATTTGTCAGAAATAATCACACCGTCAAAAAAGCTTAGAACACTCGTAAAAAGTTGTTAGGTGGAATCAGCGTGCGCGAAAACCTAGTACACAATTTTTTAGATTTTTTAGAAAAGATTTTGTTAAATGGTATATTTCACAGTGTTTCCACATGCTGGTAGTTCTTACCGTAATCCTACGTAGTGATAAGCGATCGGTGATTCGCTCCTTACTGTAAATCTAAGTTGAAGCCTCCTTTATGGAATGGTACTTGAGTGGCGGAAAAAGACCCAATGGGAACAGAGATATTAACGATTAAAAAGTGTGTACTTACTTTTGGGACACCCTGTATGGCAAACTTTCGCTGCCAACTTTCAATTTTCCTCATTTTCTCAAACTAAGAAGAGGTTTATATGGACAAACTACTATTGAAAAATTTTCCGAATTATCCGCTATTTTTTATAAAAAGTTCATGGAATTCAAGCAAATCAAGCAGCTATTCAAAAAACCTTGGAAAGTCTTGAGTCATATACCACATGCTTGCAATGTTGAACAAGATATAATGGCGATTTTCTTAAGAGAAATGTCTCTTTAGTGGACTGCCCGTTCCAGATGAGGAATATGTTGCTAAGTGAGTGGATGCTGATTTCATAGTTGCACTTTCTATCTGTTGAACGCTTTTCTGAAGAATCAGAAACAAAAATGCAAATGCAACTACGCTGCATGTGACAGGATTCAAACAGAAAACTTTATGTGCAGTATACGAAGGTACTCGTACTGCATTCTCGCATTATGGTAGCGTTTATGCAGTGATCCTATACCAAGCTGTGTTAACATGGTTAAGCTTCGAATTCTTCTCAAAAGCATTCTGCAAGTAATGATTGCAATTTTGAAATCAGCATAATTGGACAGTTCGTAAAGAGGCAATCCTTATGAAAAAATCTAATGCAAAAATGTATAAGATACCTTTACGATGATGTCCGTGAGACCAGAATATTCGGGAACGCCATCAATGGTTTTCATTGCTTGGATTCTGTAATAAAAAACCAGAAAATACCAGAAAATTGTAATAAAAAAACCGGAAAATACCAGAAAATTGATCTCTATTGGAAGTTACCAATTAGTATAAACACGTTTTTTTTGTGTGTTGAACTTGTTAGATACACAATTTGAATACTACCGTAAAGCAAAAATATTGCGAACATGTTACTTTGTACTTAATTTGCAAACATTCAATTGCTACATTTCAAGCCATTTTAGCAAGGTCTGTCGCTGTATCCAAATTGACAAAGAAAAAGGCGTTGGCGAATTTCTATGAAGTTTGTTGACGCTACGAAAATGCTGCAGAAACATTTGCTACGCAAGATTGGTTTCAATGTAGTCACCACAAACCTGGTCTTTATAATATCAACTGGCATGGATGCCACCGTAGTCGCAGCTCCAGATATCATAGAGGATAGAAAATGGCAAAAAATCCCTAAATTTGACATCTTGAAAGTGATTCTTTGCATATAATTTAGTTACCATCTTTAATTTTCTTTGTCTGTAGGATCATCTGCTTAGCCTGAGAGTAGGTTCCCAACTGCGCTGCATTGACTACCATTGCACGGAGGATCGTTGGCGAGCAACCCTAAGACTTGCAATAAATGCCGGAAAACACCAATGTTGGCTGTGTACCCGAAACCAAGTCGCTATTCCTTCTTCTTTTGCTATGCGATACAATGCTTCAATGACGTTTTTATAGTTTCGACGCTGCTCTGGTGGCAAATGTCCATCTCCTATCATTCAAGAGTATCACATTGAGCAACATCGTTTGGAGGTAGTACCTGTCATCCGAATCAAAGCCACATCTGCCGGAGTTCCCACTAATGCACCACATGCACCAGCAGTCACTCCTAATGCCGCTTTAGCCGGGAACGACAACGGCTTGTCTTTCCTCAAATTCGCCGTTTTGATTTTTGCACAATCAGCACAACAGAACTTGCTTTGTAAAACTTTCGAGCATCCATGTGTATACACCGAGTCTTGTTGTCGTATACGTAGCTTGTCTGAGTAATCCAGCGCTCAGTCCATTATAGAGGCCTAACACACCTTCATTTCTAATGACGTGCGTGAAGGCGTGAAAGCTTGTTTTAAACTTCTTTTTTCCTTAAAAGCTGTTGTGAAGTGTTTGTGAAAGCTGGAGAAATTGAGCACAAACCATCTTTTCCCGCCAATTGCATACGATTTTTTAAAAGATCGAGAGGTTGTACAACAGCTGCAGCTGTCATCCTAAACTTTGCTGTTATCAAACTGAACTTTTGCAATCATCAAAGCTTGCAAATAACGGTAGCAAAAACATCATGCTGTCGCTCTTTATACTCAACCTACTTCCTAACTCCTTATTTCTATTTGTGAAGAAATGTCTGGCACGCTGGAGCCACATTTTTGCAAAACAGACGCAACCAGAGTGTAGATTCATGTACGCGAATGAATAAATACAGGGAATTTCTAATCACAAATCACTAGGATCCACACATTTACAGTTGCAAAAGGGCGGTCTTCAGTATTTGGAATTGTCAATTCAAAAGTTTGCATGCTATTAGAACTATCTAAAGCCACTGTCTCATCGCACTTCCTATATCGCATTTTTTCGCTACTGTTGCGCGATTTTGGCGGAACTAGTGAGTTACTCCAGAAACACTTAAAATCGTGAACTCCAGCCCAGTTTTACAGTTGGCGCCAAAAGGAATACTTGCGTAGATAGTCGATTTTCCAGATTTTATCTTAAAATTTTAGGAGAATCTCTAAGAGATTATAGTTGAAACCGATCATTCGTATTCGAGTAATTTATTTGAAATATTTGACTATTCGAATATTCGTATAGTCAAATATTCAAGAAAATCCAGTTACTCGATTATTTGAATGGTCAAATAAATAAAAAAAGTCTTTATTAGAATAATTCGTTTATTTGACGACTCGGAAAAATAACTCAATCGAACATTCGAAAATTTGATGAATCTTAAAAGACAATTATTCGAATATTGACATTCGAAAAGTTCTGAGAAACCTTTGTTCGTATATTCAAATGTTCGACTATTGAATAATCGCACACTGCGTGCGAGTATTCGAACATTGTATTTGAATATTGATGATTCCAGTTATTCGTTTATTCTAATAGTCAAATTTTTGATCAAGTTCGGTCATTCAAATAATCAAAAGTTTGAATTTTGAAATGTGCACGTACTTAAATATTTGACTTCGAGTAACATAAAAATCAGAAATCGAATGATATTCTTTCATGCGAAAATCTTTCAAAAATCAATTATTCAAAATTTATTCGTTAAAAATTTTTATGAATCGATTACTATTTAAATATTCGCTCAATCAATGAAGGTTTCCGTTCGTTACCACTATGTGTCAGATGTAAGTCATGGTGGGCATTGTCCCTACGGCGATTGTCAAGCCATCAGTGCGTCATTTCTGCTTCGCAGAGGCCCGCACTGGCCCTACTATCTATGTGCCTTACTCATTCTCGTAGAATTGTGATACTGGAACTCACCGCGCTATGCCGACTACCACGAATGAAATGTAAACAACTACTCATTTAAAAAGCTTTTCCACGTGAGATCGGTAATTTCGCGTGGATGAAACTTTTCTTAGGAAGACAAACGCAAATTTGAATAGGTTTTTGAATTTGACATGGCTTGGTAGTCGCCGCCATAAAGGCAATATTAATCGTGAGCTACATCTCTGTGCGAAAATCTTCTGAAATGCTTGGCTAGAACCTTGGCAAATTGACCATTTACTCAACCAATTCTTTTTGGCGCCGTTTTCGTTATGTAGTAAACTTTTGACCACCTCTTGGGCTAAATTCCATCGTTTGCACATTTGCTAACCAAACACACCCACGACTTTGCAAAAAGTGGTGATACGGACCCAATTTTGCGGGACAGAAGCCAGGTGAATCCGTTTGGCGCACAATTTCTGAGGGATCCACTCAACGAATCAACAGTCTGCCCCAATCGGGATCAGGCCAAACCGTCGGCTGAATTTGCGCGCTCGCAGCGCTAGGGGATTGCGTTGCATACGCGCGCTGTCGCAGAGAGTGAAGAGATCGAGGAGAGAGCAGACTAGCTAGCGGCGGATGTGGCGCGAAACCCTCGCGACGCGGACTCCGGCCATGCCGATTTTGGCTTGGTTAGGATTGGTGCAGACTGTACTCTTGCTTTTGCATGTTAGACTTTCATGAAGGAAGCATGCGCTATGCAAAATTTGAGCTTAGAACACTGGCTGGAACACACTCTACGAATTTCGTAACAGACGGACACACACACAGACACACAAAAACAAGTAAACAACCCTTAGCCCGTTATTATAAGGTCTTGATAATAAATCCAGCAACTGTAGCAAAATCATTTAATCTTTTGGAATAGAGCTTGTCTCCTTCACAGTCAACGATCTTAAATAGCGAAAGCTTCGGAATGAATGCATGTTTACAATTCACTCAAGATGATCGCCATCGTGCGGTGAGTTTCAAAGTCATAAATATGCGAGCACGAGAAGGCTTGCGTAGAGTAGAACTAGTACCAGTGCAAGCCCCTACAAAGCACAGGTGACGCACAGGTACAAATATAAAGCTGAATGTTGGTGTGTTGATTAGTATATTCATCATAGAAACGCTTGTGTACAGAACGATCAATGTTAAACTTTGCATACGTGTGTTCAACACACCCTATAGCCTACTTTTCGCGGCGAAACCACTCTCTCTAGGTTTTGTCAGGAAAGTGAATTCTGTCAAGTATTATCAAAAAACTTCCAGCTTTCGCGTAAGGCCCCGGACAGACTTCACGCGACTTAATCGTCGCGATCTAATTGCCAAGATTTCCATTCATTTTCATTTCACATTCAAAAATTTCGGGCTGGAAAAGTATCACAACCGAATGCAAGTTGATCGGCATGGAATGATGTTGTAACAGTTCGTCGCGATTCAGTCGCGACGATCAAATTGCGTGAAGTCTGCCCGGAGCCTAAACAATGGCGGTAGAACCCTATCCATTTTTGAATGAGGGAGACGCGGTAATCTGAGGAGATGCTGTCAGTGTCTACTCTGTGATACGCCAAAACGAAAGCCGAAATGCAGGTAAGCAGATGCGTTGACCCTTTGTGTTGCGCAGCATTTGTTTTCTGGTGAGCCTCTTAGACCCAGGGTGTGAGCGAACCGATTCATGCTAGCTAGTCATAAATAAGCGTCGCAGGGAGCCCCACTCGATGTCCTCGATTCGCTTTAGCTCATTGGCTTCGCTTAGATTTATCAAAAGATTACTATATCTTTCCCTAAAACTCGAAAAGAACAAAAACTAAGCATTACAAGAAAACACTCAAAGCAATATACAGGTTTTGCAACAACTATTGTGCTTCCACGACGAGTGTGCACGTTTGTGCATTCGCATATAATAAGCTACGGAAGAGTCTCATGTGCATCTAACCTTTGGAATTTTATGTTTTTTTAGCAAGCAAGCGCTGAGATAAAAGCTCCTTCCATCGAGACACTGCAAACTCAGGCTTCATTTTTACATGGGAGGTATCTCCCAAGAGGCATACGGTCATCTTTTAGCCATTTCTGTCGGCTTCAAGTGTGATTAAGAAAGATAGAGAATTAAGAACTATAATTGATTTATTTGCGTTGCTGAAGATGATGATTTGAAGACAAACGACGCAACAAAAAAACTCACCCTGCAGAGCCTCCCAGCGCGAATTTAGCAGCTTTTGGAATTCTTTTATCTGTTGCCATTTACTAAATTTCAGAACTCTTTTTGAGCATTGATGCGGAGGAGGTGGCATACCAGGCTTGCACTATATAACTTGCGACCACTTGGTAATGAAAATAGATGAGCAAATGAGGTGCACTCCATTATCATGTCAGTGAAAATGTTTGGCAATTTTGTGATAGCTCGTTCGAACACGTATAGCTATGATAGCTTGTTTCTGAAAGTTCTATAATAATGACATCGGATTCTAATTACGGGGCGGCTAGGACTCAACATCCATCTCAACTCGTGAAAGCTAGCTCACAGAAATTGAAAGCGACGCCACAAAAGAAATTTTGTGACCTTGCCTTTGATCGCGTTGGCACAGTATCTATCCTTATTTTGCTCAAGTCATGTTGAACCGTTGGCCGCGCTGATGGCACGACGAACACAATTGAATGCACAGCAATAATGAGCAGATATATAAACAGGAAAAAACGACGGTACATCCTAAACAGCTTTGCCGCCTTAAAAACGAAAAATTTTGCATTCAGATGCTGAGCCAAAGGAATGTGGTTTGTTGATGTGAATGAAATGCATGGTGTAAACGTTTCAATTAACAGAGTGGGGTTTGATCATAATATTTTGTCACTACTATATTTTTGAAGAGTGGACATTTATAGTTATAGGCCGTCCGCGCAGGGCGCGGAGAGTGCGCAAAGTGTGTATTGCGCGTCACTCCTCTTTCCCCGTGACTCTCGCCGCCTGTTTTCTCTGCGCTTCTTCTATCTTCGACGGACGCAACAGAGTTGCTCTCCGCGCGCAGCGCGGACGGCCCATAGCGCTACGAAAATAAAATGATTTCTCACAGTTAAACGCACTCTTTTGAGGCCCACCGTGGCCGTATTCATTAACGAACCCAGTGGGTTCCGGTTCCGCAACCCAGTGGATAAGCGAAGAAGTCTCGTTGGGTTGGATCGATATTCACAAAAACACTACTGGGTTCGCGAACCCACTAGCCTCGTGAATTGAATACCGAACTCGTGGGTTAAGCCTATCCAATGGGTTCCGGAACCCACTGACTTCCTTGATGAATGCGGCTACTGCTCCTTTTTTAAGATTAAGTTTATATTATTTTAAAATGCTATCTTATGCAGTGAATAGGCTACGTTTTGCCGATGTAGATTTCTGACCGCACCAACTCACACAGCGGATAGGACCCCTCCGCCGGAGAAATGGCAGGGCCGCGGCGTTTCCCCAGCGGTGGGTCTGCCACTCGTCCGCCGGAGTCCTCCCATTTCTGCTCCGGAGACCTCCCATTTTCTGTTCCGGAGACCTCCCATTTGTGCTCCGGACCCCTCCGATTTTCTGCGGCGCGGCTCTTCCAAATCTGGCGGACTCGCGCCGGGCAAATTTCTCCGGCGCGGCCCTGCCAAATCTGGCGTACCTCCGGAGCAGAAATGGCGTACCTTTGCAGCAGGGCCGGAGAAGCGTCCCACTTGCCTGCCAGTGATGTCACCGCGACCTACAAGAAGGGACCGCCCATTTGCCCCGCTCTCATTGGTCAACTGGGTCCGGCGCGACTCTGGCAGATTCCGACTGTCCGGCGGAGGGGTCCGGTCGATTGTCTGAGAAATGCATGCTCTCCCAGAGCGCTAATGTTCAATTTGATGTTTCTAGGGCAGACCAAAGAAGTGCGGTTGCATTCAAATTATGGCTAAGCCTCGGAATTGAAAAGTTCAGAAAATGTTATGTAGGATGCATTCCCAGTAAAGTTATCGAGTCTCGTCATGTATTCCCATTTTCACATCAGTTTCATCCGGTGGATTATTACATGTCGCCAAAAGGAGATGATCCCACGCGGACATCTCCAACAGACCACGTAGCCATGCTTATTATAGCAATGCACGTATGTACAGCTGTTCGCGCGGGGTGGAGCCTATCGGCAACATATAATCCCCTACCGTTTCATCTCTTAAAGGCAGTGGACAGGCAGAATGGACCCCTGTCAGATTTTGGTAGTTTCGGGAAGTAGACCTCCCAGGTACATCATAGCCCCAAGCCCACCTTCCAATTCATGCGCTAAGTCTTGAAAAAAGCGCTTCAAAACTCCACCAGCCCCGCCCACTTCCATTAAGTGGGCGTTATTGGTGGAATTTCGAAGCGCTTTTTCAGGACTTAGCGCATGAATTGGAAGGTGGGCTTGGGGCTATGATGTACTTGGGGGGTCTACTACCCGAAACTATCAAAATTTGACAGGAGTCCATTCTGCCTGTCCACTGCCTTTAACATGGCATCAATTATGTGCCGGACCAGGGTGTATGCATTACTGCAACTGCTCCGACTTTTCTGACAGGTCAGCATCATTCCAATGGTAATCTTCTTTTTTAAGTTCCTCGCAGTCTTAACCTCGAAGCAAGGTTAGAAACCTGATTTTTTGACCTTTTCATTTTTAGTTGGGTGCTTACGTTTGGAATAGTAAAACTTGCTATTTCAAATCCCTCCACATTTACGAGAATCAAGGCTCAGAAAACCAATTAAAATTCGCGAAATGATTGATACCCGCCGACATGGTGAAAATAGAGTGCTCTGCTGTCGTTAGAAAACATAGATGCCACTACCTTGTCATCCCGTCCTCGCAGAACACCGGTTTCTCGTTGTCAAAAATTGTAGAATCAAAACACAAATTCTTGGAATGGTCCTTTCAGTAGGCTGAAACATAACACCATATCAGTGTGAGTGGCAGATTTCGGTTATGAGGCTTGCATTTTTACCAAAACATCGTTATATGGTCATGCCGGTCACACTATAATCACTGTTTTTTATTATGCTCAAGAAATTTATATAAGTTGTTTTTGGGTTGGAAAGGCCTTGCTCTGTTTGGTTTTGCTTACTTATTGTTACTTGGCCTCCTTCAAAGTCTGGAACGATGATTGTTTCGAAAAAAAATGGAAAGAAAATTTTACTATGCCAATAACCTTAGGCTTTCAGACCTATGTGATTTTTTAGGAGCTTGTGGCTGGCGCATGGTGCTTTCGCGCGCTCTCAGTGCTTTTCGGCGCTTTTGGACACTTCGGAGTTCTTTTCGGCGATGTTTGTGTTGTAGAGCCGTCCCTTATATTGGAACTTGCTCACTCACTATAGGCTAGGTCGATATGGTCTCTGTGATTGCGGCGTACCCGCCGCACCTTGACATATTTGTGTGTGTTGTTCTCTAGTTATTCCTAGTGAACCCTCGGCATGTACGCCGATAGGCAGAGGGGGAACTCTTGTGTTTTTCTAATAAATTGTCAACGACTCAACGCGTTCCACAACAACTGGCGATCAGGATCAAGGACAAGAAGCCTCCACCGACCAAGGACCAGAAGAAGCTCGATCGACAAGGACCGGAAGCCTCCATCGTCCAAGGAGAAGACGCGTTGCAGCTCGAATCGAGGAAGAAGCTGTCAGTGGTCGAGGACAGCCAGACAAGTAAGCTTTGCTGGGAAGCTTATCGATTTAGCAGAAGACTTCGTCGACACCAGAGAGGTCTACCATGCCGAAAGTCAGTGAAGAGCGGCATGGCGAATCTCTGGAGAAGATCCTGTCGGTCATGGTCGAAGATGCGGCTTCAACAGGAGGAGATGAAGCTGCATATGCAGCTTCAACAGGAACAGATGCAGGCTCGACTACAAGCTCAGCAGGAGCAGATGCGAGTGCAATCGCGAGCTCTACAGGAGCAAATGCAGGTGCAATTACAAGCACAACAGGAGCAGATGAGGATGCTAATCACCACTCCGGTCAGTAATCAGGGAGCCATAAAAGACATCAGCAAGGATCAGTACGATCAGCTGAGTAAGGACGTGCAAAGGTTCGTCTCAGACGAAGAGACAGGTAACACCTTTGCGTACTGGTATGGCAGGTACGGATCGATCATTCGCGACTCCCAGCTTTCGAATCAGAAGAAGGGCGACTTGCTCCTGATGAAGCTGGATGAAGAAGCATACAGGAAGTATGCCGACGAGGTTCTGCCTGCGAAACCAAGCGACTTGGACTTCGAGACCACCGTAGCGAATCTCCAGAAGCTGTTCGCCTCCAAGAAGACGCTCATCAGGAGACGTTATGAGTGCCTAAGGATAACCTGCCCTCCGCTTACGCCAGCGTACGTACCGTTCCGCGAGTACGCCAACACCATCAAACGGATGGACGAGGATGCCCGCCTCAAGGAGGTCGACTATACAGCGATGAAGACGCTGCAGTTCGTAGCAGGTCTTCAAGATCCCTTACTCAGGGAAATTCGCCTTCGGATGATTCGTCGACTGGACGCTCACACGGACGAAGCACCGTTGACAATCGAGGACCTAGTCGCAGAATGTGAGAATTTCACTGCTTTGAAAATGGATAACACGGACATGGAAGGCACGCGCGACATCCATGCAGTGTGGAAGAAAAAGGAGGTAACTTGTTTCACGTGCGGAGGACCACATTTCAGAAGAGACTGTCCACAATCCGACAACACTGGTCGGAAGAAGCGACGGAAGACAGGAGCGCAGTTTGGCCGCAGAAGACAGTGCAAACATGTGGTCGCTTTCGACACCGAGAGCGCGCGGACCTACCTCGACGTCGTAATTAGAGGATGTAATCTCAAACTTCAGCTGGACACAGGTGCAGATATAACGCTGATATCACGCAGAGCTTGGAAGAGGATGGGATCCCCGGCTCTGGAACCCTGTGTGATGCCCGTGAAAACTGCAGGCGGGACGTCGATGAAGATATATGGTAAATTCTCAACCGACTTTTCCGTCAGAGATCGAGTTACAGGGAAGATGCTTCATGGAGATGGCACGTGCTACGTCACTGAAGGCTCGAATCTACTAGGACTGGAATGGTGCATCCAGCTGCCGGCATACAAAAAGCTGAAGGGCAACTTCTATTGCAGAAAGGTGACTAGCGAAGAGAAAATCCGAGCCGAAGTGGTCGCCGACTTGAAGAAGAAGTATGGAGAAGTCTTCAACAGTGACCTAGGAAAGTGCACGAAGAGTAAGGGCATCAACAGAGACATCAAGGACTCAGCGCGCCGCTGTAGGGCAGGTCAAGAAGCAGCCAAGATGCCAACGAAGACTGTACGACATTCATGGAAAATGGAACAGAAACCATGGAATAGACTTCAT